TGCACAAAAAACAGGAACGAAAAAGCTCCAAGATGCCAAAAAATTCGGAAAAAATACCAAACGACGTCCGATCACAGATCCAGAACGAGCTTGGAGAGTCGATCAGAGCTGCGGTCGTCCGACCTCCAGAACCTCTGTCACGCGCCGGTGAAGCTGGCGGCGCGTGGGCTTCACGCCCGTGGAGAAGAGCGACGCGTGGAGGCGCGTCTGACGTCCGATGGGGTTGGGCTTTTCAGTAGAAGGTGGTCCAAGGGTTGCGAACCTATCTGGGGTTGGTCGTAGTTGAACGGCCGCCGGAAAGAAGATCAAACGCGATGAACAGGGGCTGAAACGCATTGGAACAGTGCGAACAGGGGCTGAAATGCGTTGGAACAGTGCTGAAATGTTGAACAGTGTTCTTGTATTCTGAATACGGTGAGGAACGAATTGTTTGTAGGTATCTGTAGGTGTTGTTTGGCTACTGAGTAAAGAGGAAAAAAAGAACAGTGATCTTCTCGGTCCAAGAGGTCCCCGGAAAAAAAAATTCTGGTGGCGGCTGATGGCAGCGAGAGACGAAAAAAAAGGAATAAAAGGTTTCGTAGACGCGGAAGCAGAGCCCTCAGGATCGAGAGCTTTGATACCAACTTGAAAGAAAAGGATATTTGAAATATTATTAAATTGTGTAAATAATTTGTACAAAGGGGTCTCTATTTATAGAGAATGAAAATCCTAATATTTGACCTAATGGGCTTGGCCCAATACAACAAATAATAATAATAAAGTAACCAATATTTACAACAGAACTCTTTACATCTCATATTCTAATCATTTACCTTCTTTTACCCTTACTGATGGCACTAAAGCCCCTATTCGTGGGATTGGACAAGCTCGTCCAACTTCTTCTTTAACCTTGACATCCGTCCATTACATTCCTGGCATCCCTTATAACTTAATTTCTGTTAGTAAATTGGTCCACTCCCTTACTTACATTATTACCTTCTCCCAACATTTTGTTTCTATGCAGGATCCGGATACGAGGAGGACAATCGGAGTGGATCGTGAGTCATGGGGTCTTTACTATCTGGTTATGCCTCGTCCTTCAATGGCATGCTTTCTCACAGAATCTCCAAAACTTATCCACAGTCGCCTCGATAATCCAAGTCTTTCAAAATTGCAGAAGATGGTTCCTCTTCTATCTGGTCTTCAATCTTTAGATTGTCTATCGTGCCAGCAAGGGAAGCACACATGCTCCTCCTTTTCCAGTCGAGTCAATAAACGAGCTGATGCTCCTTTCTCTCTTATTCATTCAGATATTTGGGACCCAAATCGTAAATTGTCTGTTTTAGGCTTTCAGTATTTTGTTACATTTATTGATGATTAGTCCCGTTGTACCTGGATTTATTTAATGAAAAATCGTTCCAAGTTATTTTCCATTTATCAAAGGTTTTCTGCTGAGGTACATACTCAATTTGGTGCCTATATTCGTATTTTACGTAGTGATAATGCTAAAGAATATATTTCTTTTGACTTTTCTAATTTCTTTATGTTCCTTTTCTTGACTTGTCTTTACCAGCTGTAGGTGACTCTATCCCAGAGGAATGACCTCTTGCTTCCATCCCTAAGGACCACCCTTTTCTCACCTATCAGCGTCGTCAAATTGTGCCTCCTATGGACTTGACCCTGGCTGATTCATCGCCTTCTCCTGTCAACTCTTCTCCTATGGATCCTTCACCAGAGACTCTTCCCATTGCCCAAAGAAAAGGTATACGTACTACTCGTAACCCTTATCCTCTTTATACCTTTTTGAGCTATGATCGTTTTTCTATTCCTTATTTCACCTTTGTTTCTAGTTTTTCTTCCGTTTATATCCTAAGACCTATGAAGCACCGATACGCCTAATTTTTTTTTTTTACATATCCTATACGCGTCCCAGACGGATACGTTGGCGATACTCATTTTCACGTATTGGATGAGTCAACAAAATCGATACGGTCAAATGCCATGAATGTTAACTTTAAAAAACTGAATGATGTTTTCTAACTGAAGATTTTTGGCAAAAAAACCCTGAATCGAAATCTGACTCCCTTAATTCTATACTCACCTCCGCCATCTCTGTTCTAAAATCGCTGAAAGCTCACTGCCATCTGTCGGCCGACTCACTTCTTCCTCTCCTCGTGCGTCTGCCGTCTGCCATATCTGATATCTGGCCAGTGCTGACTCACTTCTCCCTCTCCTCGACGCAGTCGCGGTCGCGGTCTCTTTCAGTCTCTTTTCTCTCCTATGCGTCTACCCCTCTCTCTCTCTTTATTTGTGTCTGTGACTGTTGTCAGTTTGTCATTTCTTTAACCTCATTTTTTTTCTTTTTTATCGTGCATCAATGTTGTGTTAATTTGAGCTTTTAATTTTTGTTAATTTGTCCATATTTTTATTATTTTGAGCTTTTAATTTGTCCATATTTTTATTTTGAGCTTTTCATTGTCCACAACAAATATATTTTTATTATGATTATGTTTTTTTTTTAACATGATTATGATTGTAAATTCTGTTTTTGTCCATTTATTATGATTTTATGGATAATCTATTATTTGTGCTTATGATTTTTCTTTTATTATATTTTATTGAAATACACTTTATATATTAAAAATATTATTTAATACTAAGACTTATCAGAACTTATCGAAATATTAATATTTTTTAAGTAACGTATCGACGTCCCGTATCGGGAACGTATCGAAATTGCCGTGTCGGTATCGGTGCTTCATAGCCTAAGACCACAAGTGAAGCACTTTCCCATCCAGGGTGACGCCAAGCGATGCTTGATGAGATGACCTCTCCTCATTCCAATAACACTTGAGATCTTATTTCTGCTCCTCCGGGGAAGTCTATTGTTGGTTGTCGGTGGATCTTTACTGTCAAGGTTGGATCTGATGGCCATGTTGACCATCTCAAGGCGCGCATAGTCGTTAAGGGCTTTACTTAGATTTTTGGCCTTGACTATAGTGACACGATATCTCCTGTCCCTAAGATGGCATTTGTCCGCATGTTTCTTGCCCTCGTTGTTGTTCGTCACTGGCCACTCCTTCAACTAGACATTAAAAATGCTTTTCTTCATGGTGATTTATAGGAAGAGGTTTACATGGAGCAACCGCTTGGCTTTGTTGCTCATGGGGAGTCTGGAATGGTGTGTAGATTTCGTAAGTCCTTATACGACCTCAAGCATTCTCCTTAGGCGTGGTCCAGCCATTTCAGTTCTGTCGTTTAGGCTTTTGACTTAATTCATAGTGAGGTTGATCATTCTGCGTTTTATAGGTGCACATCTCCTGATAAGTGCACCTATCTGTTAGTCTATGTCGATGACATCATTCTCACTGGAAGTGATCAAGCTGAGATTGACTAATAAAACAATATTTGTTCAATCAATTTCAAACAAAGGATCTTGGTAAGCTTCGTTACTTCTTAGGGATTGAGGTGGCACAATCTAGACAAGGCATTTCCATTTGTCAAAGGAAATATGCCTTAGACATCTTACAGAAGACTGATATGCTGGGGTGTAAGCTAGTTGATACACCCATGAATCCCAATATCAAATTATTGCCCGGACAGAAGGAGCCATTATCTGATCATGAAAGTTATCGGAGGTTGATTGGAAAGCTCAATTATCTCACTATGACTAGGTCAGACATCTCTTTTGTTGTTAGTGTGGCTAGTCAGTTCCTTGACTCCCCTTGTGAATCTCATTGGGATGCTTCTGTGAGGATCCTCCGGTATATCAAAAGAGCACCAGGGAAAGGCTTATTATATTCAGATCAGGGACATATAGAAATTTGTGGTTATTCAGATGCCGATTGGGCAGGATCACCCTCGGATAGACGCTCTACTTCAGGTTATTGTATCTTTTTGGAGGAAACCTGATTTCTTGGAAGAGTCTGAAACAAACTGTTGTCGCCCGATCCAGTGCAAAGGCTAAGTATCGTGCAATGGGAGCTGCCACCTACGAACTAATCTGGTTAAAGCAGTTGATTCGGGAGCTCCATCTTTATGAACAGAAACAACCCATGACACTCATTTGTCACAATCAAGTTGCACTTTATATATCATCTAATCCTGTATTTCATGAGAGAACCAAGCACATAGAGATCAATTGTCACTTCATTCGAGAAAAGATTCAGTTCGGAGAAATCAAAACGGCATTTGTCAACTCCAAGGATCAACTCGCGGATGTCTTCACTAAAGCTCTTAAAGAATCTCGGGTTGAATATATTTGTAACAAGTTGGATGCTTACAATATATACGCACCAGTTTGAGGGGAAGTATTAGATTAATATGTTAAAGTAGTATAGTGTATATAGTAGAATAGTCTCACATCTTGTTTATGATAGATTAATTTCTGTACTTGTTAATATATATATATATATATATATATATATATATATATATATATGGGGAGGGATCTTTTGACGCTGGAGTAAGACTTACAACTCTTACTCTCCATCCCAACCGTTGATTTCCGTCCATCTAACTGTTATTATTTATTTGAAATAAAAAATTAATTAATTGTTATAGATAACCGTTAGATGGACGGAAATCAACGATTGAGATGAGAAGTAAGAGTTGTAAGTCTTACTCTAGAGTCAAAAGATCCTTCCCCTATATATATATATATATATATATATATATATATATATATATTATATTCCATGAGTGCTCGTATTAGACACAATTATTCAATCTTTAAGCGTAACATAAAAAATATGGTGATTGTGCATATATGCAGCAGAAGAAATTGTTTACACTAAACGACACCAAATCACCAGTTTATCATTTAAATCATTTAAGACCCAAAATAAATAAATATATACACTGCTGGTGTCAACAAGAGATAAACCTATAAGAGAATGTGCGAAGCAGTACAAAATATCATGTCTCAAAACACATTTGAGGCAGGAAGACTTTTCACAGAAGGATTCAAATTGACAAGTATACAACCCAACCACAATATAATTTTTTAATTAAAGCAATACCCTTTTTTTTTTTTCAAGATGCAAACGCCATGTGAGTTGTTCCAATTGCTTCTCAAGTTTATTCTTAGCTTCACGGAGGGCACCAGCTTCATTAGCCTCCTGATAAAAATAAATAAAAAAAACAGACAATAAGAACAACTTTTGCTACATTGGATCGCCCCTCCCCTAAAGGAAAAAACCTTACTTGTTTAAGTCTACGAAGCTCCCGTTTTGCTTGTCTACGCCGCCAAAGGCATTGTATTGTCACAATTGAAGCTTGATGTAGCCGGAAAGCTGATCTAACCTTCGACATCCTCCAACAGGCCTATATTATTAATGTTACATAGGATCAATATAATATTAGAACAAAATCCATCATCCCAGAGGTAACCAGACACAAATGACAAGCAATTGAAAGTGAATGCAGCAACAATAGAAACCAAAGCAAATAAAGCATTGTGTCATGCCTTATCAACACATGTAAAGAGAGATGGAACTAAAAAATCAATCAGAATATTATGGTGTTTCATACAATCAATCAACATTACACAGATGCATAAAAATTCAAAATTCCTGACACAATCAGTATTACTTGATAATTAAGATGACAAATACAAAATATAATCAAATTTATTAAAGTGACGAAGACAAAGAGGGCACAGTTGACATTTTAAAAATCCTAGCACACCCAACACCCATCTCTTGGTAAAACTACCTGAAAAAGAGTAGCAGCTTTATGTTCTTTTCCACGCAAAAATTTTTGGCGAGTTGTGAAACCTTGAACATGGGATTGTATGATAATAGCAGAAGAATATAGTTTCAAGTAAGCATGCCTCGTTAGCCACATACGAATATATTTCTGAATGGAGACAGCCGCTGCCGTCTCCCTTTTAGCAGCATACATCTTTCGGGCAACGTATCCTACAATTACAAAAACTGATCAGGATCAGGCTAATGTAATTATGAAAGTAGTGATCTCTACATGTAATGTGCTTATAATAACAAGTTTGAATGAGTTAACTATATTCTAAACAAGCAGCCAACCAGTGAAGCACAAATCAATTGAGAGTTGTTTGGCACCAAGAAATAAGTTAAAGATTGACCTGTCATTGATTTTATTATTGGAAATTATTTAGTTCAATTTAACCCATCCTATATTAATCCAAGCCAAATTCAGAACTACTTTCAACCATTTACATTCCACTTAGTTATAAGGCCTTAAGACAGTTGAAAATGTGAGAGTGTGGTAGTAAAGTTGTCTACTGCTCTTGCAGTAGATGGTTGTAAATGCGACAGAAAAAAAAAAGATAGAAAACTAACCCCTGCAGCATGCCTGAAGAGAAAATGCAGCTGCTCTGACTGAGATAAAATCCCTGTGTGCAATAAATGTCCTCAGTCGACACTGAATACACTTTGCAGCATTGTCCAAAACTTCAGCGCGTTTGGAGTCTAAAACGCCAATTTGACCAGCCCTGAGAAATACTTTGGTCCTACCCAACTGAATAAGAAGAAAGAGAAAGCAAAACAAGAAATATAACCATTATAAGAGCACTTATGCTTTAACATCCCTAGCTTGTTTATGAACAACAGCTGCATGGAAAGTTCCTAAGAAGCATACCTGAAAGTTCTCAAGTTTGAGCTTTTGCAAAATTTTCTCAGTTGCAACTTTATCATCATAACTATCAACACAAACAATACATACCAAAAAAGAAGATGAGAACTGAAAACACGGAGCACTTTTTTTATTAAATAAGAAGCTTGTACTGTTGCACATGCATTCATAAAAAAATGAACATGTTGTCAATAAGAAGATAACGCAATCCATGCCAGAAAGCAATAATTTTTGCCAGAACCAATGACTTTTCCGCTACTGAATGATGAATTATCCAAATAAGCAGCAGAAGTAAAACCAAATTGCTTTTTCTTTTCCTTTCTCTTTCGGTTCAGCTAATTACAACCACCAACAAAATTACATTTATCCTAAAATGATTTACAACCAGGACAGATTGGCAGGTTCAGGGAACCGCCCATGATCTGGCCCAGTAGTTCTTTAGAACTACCCTTTTTTTTCAAATTGTTTAATAACCAGGGAAACCAGTCAATCAGGACTAAATTCGAGAACCACTGCCAGTTTTTTACTGGACTGGTTGAAAGGCTCCCACTTCTCTCACTCAAAATTAAATACAAGCCACAAGGGCAGTGTGGCTGTATGGGGACAAAATCCCTCAAGCTCAAAATTTCATTACTTGGAAAATACAATTATAACTTTGATACGGCTAAGACTGACTCAACTTCAGTAAAACATTTGACCCTTGACTCTCACCCTGTTGAAATTATAAAGTTTAAGTATGGAAAGTGGAAGAGAGAGAAAAAGAAATACTCAATATAAGAAGATGATATTAATATGTTGTGAGAAAAGACTCTAACCTAATATTCCTATTTACACTAATAAGTCAGGTACTAGTACTACAGTACTACTAGTACAAGCCCAGCAAAAAATAAACTTTATGGGCAGATATAGCTCAACACTTAAGCCAAACAAAAACAGTAACAAATGTTAGAGATGTTAATATAAAACCATTCATAGGTTTCACCTAACAGCTTAAAAATTGTAAAGTCAGTTAACACTAACTATGAAAATTACCTTTAATGAACTCACCTTCCATCCATAAAATCAGGGGCTATTAACCCAAAGCGGTCTACAAACTGTGAGTAAGTTCTTCGAGTGGGGTAACCTGCCAGACTTATTCGAACAGCTTCAAGGACGCCCTTGATAAAATAGAGATATATATAATTACTTGATAGCCCTAGAGAAACAACTAAAAAGAAAACTTAGAAGACAAGCATGTAGATCATGGCCACCTTATTTGTATGAAAATTTGAATCAAGCCCACATGATTTTTTGCATGCATGTAGTTGCAAACCAAATCATTTTTCTATTCATTGGAAAAGAAATTACTAATAGACAATAGAAAGATAGAGGGAAAAAATCAACAAAATATATCAAAAGAATATACCTGTTTAAAACTCAATTCCATTTTTAGAAAAACCCTTTATTTCTTTTTAGAAGAGCATAATAAGGGCATCAAAACGACAGACTTATTGAACTAAGTGTTGAAGGACAAGAACGACAAACCTCACTCTAAAGAACCAATTCAACCCAAAAGCTTAAGTTGTAGGGTGAGACTACATTAATGGTTTTATATTTCTCTAACACGTCCCCTCACAGGAGAGTACATTGGGCTTGAAGGGTGGATGATGCATCACGCCCAGCCTACTTATGCCACGAAACTCCACAATACTTAATTATTTATTAATTGAATGGGGACGGTGAGGATCGAACTCGTGATCACTTGGTCACGTCGGCTCTGATACCATGTAAAGAATCAATTCAACCCAAAAGCTTAAGTTGTTGAGTGAGGCTACATTAATCGTTTTATATTTTTCTAACACTCATCTTCAAATTTGAGCATTCTTCTTAGAAGTTTAAACAAATACACAGAAATACCGAAAAATAGTTTGTACATTTTCCATGACATCTTAACCCCATTCTTCTTCAAAAACTTTAAAAAGATATATAACAGCTCCATTACACATTGCTCGCAAAACACCAAAAGCATTCCAAGTAGTCAATACAAGTTATACAACCAAACCTCAGTCAAAGATTACATTTTGTATAACAATGACTACAATTTTTTTTACTTTGTTTATAATTTTTAGTAAACATTATTATAAAGCTACTTGTAAAGAACGGAAGCTGATAATCTGAGATTCTAATAAGCAAATTCTTATCCAGACTAATACCATAGGACATACTTAAAAATAATTAGCGCCTCTCACTTTCATACAAAAAGTCTCGAGTCTTTCTCCACAAGCAAAAATTCATGCATACCAATACTAAAGTTGTTTATCTTCAGCTTGATTCAATGCACTAGAACAGACAAAAAAATTCAATGCGACCCAAAAAGTAAAACTTTAAAATTAACCTGAGTTGCAAAGTAACATAATGACGCAAGTTACAAGCAAAATTCAAGGTACCCCAAGTACATACCCTACCTCATTTGCAGTTTATTGAACTTAGGATTTTGCATCATTAAATCCAACACTCCATAAAACTGCCAACCAAGACAAGGTATTAGTGCATTTGGGGCACCATAAACTTGGCTAAGCTATAAATACAGAGCGCGTTTGACACATATTGAGGAACAGCACAAACATAAAAGTTAAGCATTAGTGATTGAGTCACCGGACAATTCTTGGTGTTGTCAGCTATTTCATGAAATGCACAAAACTAAAAAATTTGTGATATCCATTGTTTGAACGCATAAATACTGGACCGAACAACACAAAATTTATTGTAATACCTTTGGTGTTATTCATCATTCCACAGGCAACAGAGCTAAGAAAATGAAATGACATGAACTATTGGCATTTTTCTCTTTTTGTGCTGTAGACAAAAATTTGTAACCTGCTTTAGTATTGTATTGTCCCGAGTTGTTTTTTATTGAGTACTTACTACTATACATCAAACAAAGTACAATTTTTTTGTGGCAGTACTGTCCTTTAATTTTTGGGAAATCAATAGCAAACATTACCCAAGTTAAAAAAAGACAAACACGAGAATAGAGGGACAAAGAAGTACATAACCATTGACACAAAAATGGCCTAAATATAAGTTATACCACAATATCAAGTTAAATAATTGTCGTGATCAATAATGTAACCAATAAGATACCAACCAAAAACAGAGTACACTAATTGACATGTCAGCAATCTATGAAACTCTGACAACAACTCAAAATAAAGGGATCTAGAATATCTAAACTACTGACCCCACAGCGTAATTGGTGTATGATGCTTGCATTCTCAAATATTTGTGGTCGATTCAAAGAATTGGGCTTCACACATCGTATGTAATGAGGCTCTGTTGACTTAAGGGTCTCCATGAGTGCTTGAAGTTGTTGCTGAGCACACAAACAAGACACCAAAAAATAAATAAATAAATGAAGAAAAAGATCAGCAACAAAAATTTCATGTTCAAATACGTAGCTCTATTCACCTATACAATTTGGTCATAATAATGGACCCTCTAGTCTTCAGTAAAATATGAAAAGGATGTAGATGTTCGCACCTTAAATCTGGAAGCTACTGAAGAAAATTTGTACGATGATCTTGAAGAATCCTCTGGTAGCAAAGGAAAAAGACCAGACACAAAGGGGCATTTTGATGATGAAAATAGATTACAATGTTCTACAACAATATAATCACGATTTTTGTCTAAAAAGGTCTCTGTGTGATAAGTGACCTGCATAAAAGCGTGGAAGATCTTTTTAAAATTTGTAACATTACATCACAAGATTTCATGTTCAAATCAGGAGAAAGTACACGAACACAGGTTCACCTTTCCAGCATAATGAGAAATGGTAAAATCTGTTTGCGAAAACTTTTCCTTTTCCAACCTAGGGTGAGACCGGAAATGCTGAAACAACTTGGTTGAGAATGTTTCATGTGTTGATTTCGGAAACATGCTGCAAGCCAATCGAATTCAAGATTAAGGATCATTTTGCAATAGCAATGGGGTCCACTTTGGTACTCCCTCCAAAAACCGTACTCCCTATTGTAAAATTACAAACTTTATGTCAGACTGAGTAATAAAAGTTGTATACATAAAAAAATTACAAACTGAGTAATCAAAGTTACAAACTTTATTACTCAGTCTGTAAGTTTTATTACCCAGCCAATAACTTTGTTACTTAGTTTGTTATTTCAAAAAAGGTACTACGGTACACACTTTTTTGGAGGGAGCACCAAAGTGAACCCCTACAAATAAATACACACCAATTCAGTTTAAAGAACTCAAATTGTACCAAGCTTCATCCAAAAGAGCAATGATACCAATGGGCTTCTGCAAAAGAATGCAATAATAAGTCCACAAGAAGCTGAAATTACAGGCATACGTATAAACTGGAATCAAGAGAAGACGGTGACTTATACAGCAATAAGATGCATATCTTAGCACTGCACTTCCAAATGAAACTACATTAATTTATTTTGGCATGATTATCCTTATCTGAACACTAGATAAACAGGTCTTACCAATTTATTGATTAAAAGATATATCTTGTGAAAGATCCAAACCTATAACCTATACTGTAGCATCAGAAAAAAAAGATTTTGACATTGTCAAGAACCACATGAAGGCACATGAACGGTTTTAGATCTAACATGCCTCAGCAATCAAGAACCATTTGGGCTTAAAGAGTGAATAACGCACAAGCCCACCCTACCTTATGCTAGAATTTAACTTTCATTAGAAGAATAGAAACAACAAGAATTAAACTCTAACAACATGGTCAAAGGGTCTTTGATATCATATCATGAACCAACTAACGCAAAAGTTTAAGCTATTAGGTAAAGATCAATATATGGTTCTACATCTAACAAATATATTGCTACATATCCTCTTGCAATTTCAGTATCTTGAATTTGATGTATGTAACCTATATATTCCACTAGTTACACATTATGAATGAAACAAGCAAACATGCATAAGAATGTAAAATATACTACATGGCAATATTGAGATATAGAATTTAGAGAACTTAACCCTAAAAAGGCAAAACATTCTAAAAGGAAAACAATAAATAAAAACCTTTTCAATCAAATCTAAAACATCTAGGTTGTCTACAAATTCAATGTAACTCCAGATAATTTCTTCGTTTCCATACTCCTCCTGCTCCATCTTGAATACATGCTGGAAGAAATGGCAAGACAGAGAAGTAATAAAAAAAAAGAGAGAAAAAAGAACACCAATAAATCCAAATTAAGACAGGGCAGTAACCTAGTGAATGCACATCAATATACAGTAAGTAACACATGCATACCTCATTGAAATGTTGCTGAAGCTTTTCATTTGCAAAATTGATGCAGAATTGCTCAAAACTGTTGTAAGTGAATGTTATTGGATTGAGCAAAGCAATCATATTGAAAAAATTATCAAATTAAATAAACAACCGCAGCACACGAATCATAATCTAATAATGGGAATACAAAGTAAAAGAAACCATGCATGATGTCTTGAGCATTAAGCATTTTGATACTAGTGAACGTAGTACATTACATGAAAGAACACCAGGAAGTGAGAAGTATTTATAAGAACAAATGCCCAATCTATGCATTATAATGTTCCACAACTTAAAATAAGCCTACTCACTTTTATTTTCCATAATCCACCAAAAAAATAAAAACCCTCCAAGTTACAGGTAATTGACAACAACTTACCTGTTATCCTTAAAGCACTCAAAACCATAAATATCCAAAACTCCGATTTGTATCTGGGAATTGATATCTTGCCCAACAGACCTATTGATCTTGTCAACAAGCCTGTTAGCACAACAAAAACAAAGAATTATCACCCTAAACTAGGCATAATAAAAAATGGTTGTTGATTTTGCATTGACCACAAGTATACCAATCAAATAAGTGAGCATAAACAGTTTTTGCCAAAGCATCCCGGCCAGCAACAGCAGCATTGCAATCAAGGGCTTTCACAATAATTCCTTCTCGAGTTTGTATTGAACGAGTACACAATGTTGCTAGCAGTAGGTCAACATCACACCTAGCGAAGAAAAAAAGTAAGTCAATAAGTTCAGCAAAGGACAACTTAAAATTAAGACCAGCCATTACATCTTAAAGGAGAAACAACCAATAATCTCATTCATGTGGTATTTTTATCATTTATACAATACAACAAGTGGAAAACCTTGTTTAGTTAGTTATTTTAGGAAAATATTTTGTAACAGAATTGTTAATTATCAAGAGACAAGAGGTATTCATTGTAATCCTTGTGTCAACTACACGAAGGAGATTTCATTTATATATTAAACCAAATAAGAAATACAACGACATATACACAATGTGGGACTTCTATACTATTTACAGTAACACTGCCCCTCAAGCTGGAGCATATAGATCGTATGCACCAAGCTTGTTACATATCTGGTCTATCCTAGGTCCTCTCAAAGACTTAGTATATACATCAGCTAATTGATCATTGGAGTTGACAAAACGAGTGACTATATATCTCCTGAGAGAACCTTTTCTCTAAGGAAATGACAATCTATCTCAATGTGCTTAGTCCTTTCATGAAACACTGGATTTGAAGCAATATGCAAAGCAGCTTGATTATCACAAATGAGAGATACTGGGCCAATGTCTCCAAACTTGAGTTCTTTCAGTAGTTGTTTTAACCAGATGAGTTCACAGGTAGCTGTGGCCATGGAGCGATATTCTGCTTCAGCACTTGATCTAGCAACTACACTTAGTTTCTTATTTCTCCAGGAAATCAAGTTATCTCCAACGAATACACAATACCCGGAGGTAGATCTTCTATCAATAGGAGAACCTGCCCAATCAGCATCTGAGTATCCTGCAACTCTGGTATGACCCTTGTTTTCATAGAGAAGACCTTTGCCAGGAGCATTTTTGATGTACTTGAGGACACGGATTACTGCATTCCAGTGATCTTCACAGGGAGAATTCAAGAACTGACTTACTACACTGACTGCAAAGGAAATGTCTGGTCGAGTAACTGTGAGATAGTTCAGTTTCCCAACCAATCTTCTATACCTTTCTGGATCAGAAAATAGCTCCCCCTGATTTGGCAAAAGCTTGACATTTGGATCCATAGGAGTATCGACGGGCTTAGCATTCAACAGTGTTGTCTCCTCAAGAATATCCATAGCATATTTTCTCTGTGATAGTACAATGTCATCTTTGGATTGAGCCACTTCTATCCCTAAGAAATATCGGAGTCTTCCAAGGTCCTTTATTTGAAAATGATGGCACAAATGTTGTTTGATCTGAGTTATGCCATGAGTATCATTACCTGTAATGACGATATCATCAACATATACTACCAAATAAATAGAACCTGAATCAGAGTGTCTATAAAAGACTGAGTGATCAGCTTCACTTCGAGTCATGCCAAATTGTTGTACAACAGTGCTAAACCTTCCAAACCAAGCCCGGGGAGACTGCTTGAGACCATACAAGGATTTTCGGAGACGACAAACTAGGTTAGACTCCCCCTGAGCAACAAACCCAGGAGGTTGCTCCATATAAACCTCTTCCCGCAGATCACCATGGAGGAAAGCATTCTTGATGTCTAGCTGATACATAGGCCAGTGATGAATGGCTGCCATAGTAATAAAGAGGCGAACAGAAGTCATTTTCGCCACGGGGGAAAATGTGTCACCATAGTCAAGGCCAAATATCTGAGTATAACCTTTAGCCACCAAGCGGGCCTTGAGACGGTCTACCTGACCATCAGAACCAACTTTAACTGTGTATATCCATCGACAGCCAACAACAGACTTCCCAGAGGGAAGGGGAACCAGATCCCAGGTACTACTGCTCTAAAGTGCACTCATCTCATCAATCATGGCCTGTCGCCATCCAGAATGTGATAACGCCTCACCTGTAGTCTTAGGAACAGATACAGAAGAAAGAGAAGAGAGGCAAGCAAAATGGGATGGTGAAAGACGATGATAACTCAAATTTATTAATTACCTGGGAGGGGGACGAGAATCACGAGTACCTTTTCGGAGTGCAATGGGTACATCAATGTCAGACGAAAGGATCGGAGCTGTCGGAGGAGATGATGACGAAAGTGAGTCCACAGGAGCCTCAGTAACAATAGGGGCAGGGTCTTGGGGGGCAGGGTCCTGGGGAACAGGTGGATGGTGCCGACGATGGTAGACCTGGAAGGGGGGAACAGGGGCGGTATCAGGGACGGGGACATCTAAAGAAGGAGATGGTGAAGGTATATATTGAACTGAAACAGGGGGTAAAGGTAGTTGAGGAGCCACAGAATCACTGGGAAAGGAGGAAGAGTCAAAGAATGGGATAGACTCAAAGAATGTAACATCCGCCGAGACAAAGTAACGACGAAGACTGGGAGAATAACAACGATAACCCTTTTGTGAGCGAGGGTAACCCAGGAAAATACACTTATGTGACTTAGCAGATAACTTGTCAAGACCAGGACTGAGATTGTGGACAAAACAAGTAGAACCAAAGATGTGAGGAGTGAGTGGGTACAAAGGTTGATGGGGGAAAAACACAGAATGTGGTACCTGGTTATTAAGTACGGAGGAAGGCATCCGATTAATGAGATAACAAGTTGTGAGGACAGCATCGCCCCAATACTGGAATGGGATATGACCATGTAACAAAAGTGTCCGAGTAGTCTCAATTAGGTGACGGTTCTTGCGTTCAGCAACCCCATTTTGTTGAGGGGTGTGTGAACATGATGTCTGGTGAAGGATGTCGTGAGATGCAAAGAAGGTTTGAAATTGATGAGACAAATATTCACGAGCATTATCACTTCAAAAAATGCGAATCAAAACACCAAATTGAGTAAGGATTTCATTAAAGAACTTGTTAAAAATAGAAAACAATTCAGACCGATTTTTCATTAAAAATAACCAAGTACATCGAGAATAATCATCAATGAAAGTTACAAAACATTTGTACCCCATAGTGGAAACGGTACGACTAGGACCCCAAATATCTGAATGAACGAAAGCAAAAGGAGACGAAGACCGACGACTGACACGATCGGGAAACGAACTACGAGTGTGCTTCCCTAACTGACACGACTCACAAGACAAACTAGATAAATTTGAGAAACGTGGGACCATCTTTTGGAGCTTAGCAAGATTTGGATGACCCAACTGAGCGTGGATAGTAAGCGGAGAATCCACAACAGAGCACACTGGAACAGAAGTGGAAAGCTGATAAAGGCCATTGGACTCAGATCCGACGCCAAGTGTCCTCCTCGAGCTCTGATCCTGCAAAATGACAGACTCTTTAGGGAAAGAAATAATACAGTCAAGGGATTGAGTCAAACGACTAATGGAAATAAGGTTGAAAGGAGAATGAGGAACATAAAGCACATTCTCAATGGGAATAGAAGGAAAAAAGAGAACAGTGTCAATCCCTTGGGACTGAACCAGTGACCCATTAGCCATAGTGATACTGGGCAGGGGACCAAACGTACAGAGAGAGGTAAATAAAGACTTATTACCAGAAATATGGTCAGATGCACCAGAATCGAGAATCCATGGACCAAGAGAGGGCGAGTGAGAAACACCAGCAAAGGAATTACCCGTGTGTGCACCAGAGGCAGTGGTACCAGGAGGACGCATCCCTTTATACCATTGCAAGAAGTCAGTGAGAACAGACGGAGGTGGCTGTGATCCAGCAATCAAAGCAGAGTCCGAGGCAGAAACAGTAGTCTGAGCAAAATGAGCGGAGCGAGGAGGGAGACCATGAAGATCCCAGCAACGATCAATAGTATGGTATGGCCCGGCTTGTTGCAATGAGTGCAGAGAAAGCGTCTCGTAGAGGGTTTGCGTCCACGTGCATAACCCTTGGATGCATCGTGGGGTGACTTATCAGCCATAGATCACCTGAAACAAAAATGAACAGCAACCAAAAGAAAAGAAACACGCGTGAATAGTGACCAGCAAGAGAAAGAGACACTGTCGGAAGCCGAAACGAAGTCGGAACAACAAAGGGAGGACAGATCCAGGTGCGCAAGGAGAAGACGAGTTGAACCGTGGTGGTCGGAGGTCCAGCCGAAGCATCACGCGCCGCTGCAATGGAGCGGACGGCAGCAGCTTCCTCCCACGCGTGTGGGCGCGTCGCTGAGTTGTTGGAGATGGGTGTTGGACAGACAGGACCGCCTTGTTGTGGCGGTCAGATCGATGGGAGTTTCGCCGGAAAAGTCGCCGGAGACGGTGGTCAACGGTGGCGGGCGGCGGTCAACGATGGTTCTGGACAGCGGCAGTGCTGAGACAAGGTCGGAAACAAAATAAGGAAGCCGGAAACTGACAGATATGACGGTTTCCGGAAAAAAAAAAATATTACTCAGCTGACAGTGGTCCACCGAAAAAACGCAGATTAGGATTCTCTTGTTAGGCTCTAAATACCATGTTAATTATCAAGAGACAAGAGGTATTCATTGTAATCCTTGTGTCAACTACACGAAGGAGATTTTATTTATATATTAAACCAAATAAGAAATACAACGACATATACACAATGTGGGACTTCTATACTATTTACAGTTACAAGAATGTATCCCTAGAATTAGGCTCATTTAATTGTGTTTTCTATTCTGTTAGGATATCCCACAAATCATAGGATCTGACTCTAGTTTCTATCCATTCTGTGTATATATCTAACCCATTGATGTATCATATTATCATGGATAAAATTCCACATTTTTCAATCTCCTAGATGATATAAGAGCAGTTGCGATGTGGGACTGCTGCTATTTCTGCTGAAGCCATCAAAATGTCTTCTCTCTTAATGAATTGGCATTCATTGCTAAGCATTCCTTGCTGCTAAATCATATTGTTATTCTTTCTCTCTTAAATCAGTCAGCCTTCATTGCCAATCTATTGCATCTACCAGCCTTCTTTATTGGGTTTCTGATAAGAACTTTGGGATGCACCACTCCAAAAGCTAGCTCAAAGGATGGGAGTACACAAGGGCTTATAAATCCCACATTAGTTGCCCATACAATCAATATGGGACTTCAAGTCTCATACCTTACCTATGGGATCGACTTGAAAATATAAGGATTATATTATATGAATTATTTATTACAAATGTACAAAGGGTCTCTATATAAAGAGACTAAATGACCTATTGGGCTAATCCCAAGGAAGATAAAAAAATAATAAATAAATAATACTACAACTATTATTTACAACAATCCCCCCTCAAGTCCAAAAATAGATATTTATCATTCCCAGCTTGCTAGTAAGTTCTTGAAATCTATCTGAGGGAAGTCGCTTCATCAGAATATCAGCTAATTGACGCCCAGAGGGAATGTATGGAGTGAGGATCAACCCGCTATCAAGTTTCTCTTTGATGAAATGGCGGTCAACCTCAATATGCTTAGTACGATCATGTTAAACTGGATTATGAGCTATACAAATAGCGGAATTATTATCACAAAGCAACTTCATTGGTCCTTCACATCTTATTCTGAGATCATCAAGTATAATTTTCAACCACAATAATTCACAAATGCATTGAGACATAGCTCGAAATTCAGCCTCTGTACTTGATCTGGCAACCACATCTTGTTTCTTACTCCTCCATGTTATTAAGTTACCACAAAGAAACATACAATAACTAGTGGTAGATCGACAGTCAGTCACAGATCCAGCATAATCAGCATCAGTATAAACTTCTAAAGAGAGATTGTCATCACGCCGAAATAATTGCCTTTACCAAAAGTGGCTTTAAGATACTGAAGAATTTTCTCCACTGCTTGTATATGTTTTTCTTTTGGATTATGCATGAATTGACTGACAATATTAATAGCATAAGCTAGGTTTGGTCTAGTATGAGCCAGATATTTGAATCTCTCAACTAGCTGCTAATATTGTCCTTCATCAACTGGAGGACTCTCATCTTCATAACTCATCTTGTGATTCTGCTCAATAAGAGTAATAGAGGGTTTATACCCAAGTTTTCCTGCTTCTTTAAGAAGGTCAAGGACATATTTCCTCTGATTGATAAAAATTCTTTTCTTTGAATGAGCTACTTCTATCCCTATGAAATATCTCAATTTCCCAAGGTCTTTAATTTCAAATTCAGAAGTTAGTCGTGCTTGAAGAACATGTCTCTCCACAATATCATCCCCTGTTATAATGATGTCGTCCAAATATACAAGGAGCACAATGAGCTTCCCGTCTTGGGAATGCTTAAAAAAAAGTGTGATCTCTTTTACTCTGTTTGTATCCTAAGGTCATCATAACCTTAGTAAACCTCCCAAACCAGGCACGAGGAGACTACTTCAATCCATATAAAGCCTTCTTTAACCTACAAACCTTATTTTCTCCATAGATAGGGTCAAAATCAGGAAGGATTTTCATGTAAATCTCTTCTTCTAACTCACCATTAAGAAAAGCATTCTTCACATCAAATTGATTTATACCCAATTGTAATGGGCAGCAAGGGACAACAAGGCTCTCACAATATTCATCTTTGCAATTGGGGCAAAAGTTTCTTCATAATCAATGTCATAGGTCTGAGTGTAACCCTTGGCTACTAACCAAGCCTTATCTCTCTCAAGAGTGCCATCAGAATTATATTTTAGGGCATAAACTCATTTGCACCCTACTGCTTTCTTTCCATCGGGTCTATCAACAACATCTCATGTTTTATTTTTCTCCAAGGCATTCATCTCCTCTTCCATGGCTTGAGCCCAATTCTCATCTTTTAATACTTCATGTACTGATTTTGGAATTGACATAGAATCTAGTGCTGAAACAAAGCTTTTGTGCTACACAGAAAGATTAGTAGAAGAGAAGAAAGGGGAGATAGGTATTGGGTACAAGATCTTTTTTCTTTTCTTAGGGCAATGGGTATGTCAACAAAAGCATCAATATTAGATTCAAAAACAAAAGGTTCAGGACTTACCAGTGGTTCAGAAGATTGAGGTTGTTGATGAAGCAGTGTGGGTTGTTTTCTCCTGTGATATACCAAATCTGGTGTTACAATCTTCCGTATCTCCGGTGTATATGATGGATCAGACACAAGAGGATCAAAAATAAGAGGAAGAGGTATAGGAGTAGAACGTGATGATCCAGACTCAAAAAAGGAAGATGCTGAGCCTACTGAAGTACCACTCTCCCCCTGAAGATAAGGACCTGGGAAAAAGGACTCAGATTCATGAAAGATAACTGTTAGAAATAATATTGTATTAAATAGTATTGTATTTTTATTATTCTATTATTCTAGCAGGTTATTTGGGCTTGGCCTATTAGGTCATTTAACCTCTTTAAATAGAGGACTTTTGTACAGTTCTATATACAATTGAATACAATATACATTCTTACTTTTAAGTTGGTACCAGAGCTTGTGTTCTGGGAAACCTCGCTTTTGCATAAAACCCTTATCTTGTCGTGCATCATACTGCCAACCTTTTTCTAGCCCTAACCCTTAATTAGTCACCAAATATTTATCCTCAACCTTAAATAGTCAGAAATCGGCCTCTGTTTGCCACCAGAACCGTCGTTTGTTACTGTTCACAGTCACCAGAGAAATTTTTCGGCAACGATTTCAATCGAAACACCTACGAACAGACTCTCCTTCCTCCGGCAACCTATTCTGTGGAAGACCCATCACCGGCGGCCAACCCTCTCTACGCGAAGTGCTCACGCGCCGCTTCTCACCGGCGTGTGTGCACTGTTCCGGCCATTCCAGGACAGAACAGCTCAACTTCCTCTCCTCTCCTCTTTCCAAATCTGGTCTTCGTTCGTTGTGGGTCCCATCCGTTAAGAAGATATCGGCGAAAAACACGTTGTTTGGACATCTTTTTGAATTATTTTTGCGCGATTTCTTGTGAGTTTGCAGTTTCTTGCTTTGATCTGGTCTTCTCTTTTATTTTTGTGATGGAGGACTCAGGTAATGCGTCCAAAAACACTATTGGCGTCATCTCCAGTACTACCCCATCTATTACAACGAGGAAACTGACCGGATCTGCTACTTACAAGACCTGGTCTCTCTCAGTTAAGATCTGGTTTACTGATCAGGGATACGGAAAACATCTCACAACTAAGTCTGCCGATATTTCAAAGGATCAGACAATCAAAGAAAAGCACAAAAGTGGTTTAAATTGTATGCCCTATGTGACTACACAAGGTCAGCTTGCGATATACTTACCAAAGGGTTGAGCAGTCCAGCATTTTAAAACATTGACCAAAGCTGGAAATGGAGAATACATATTCACCAACTTGAGGGGAGTCTGGAAATCAGTGTTTAATTAGCTATTTTAGGAAATTATTCCATAACAGATTGTATCCCTAGATTTAGGCTCATTTTTGTTTTCTATTCTGTTGGGAATTAGGATATCCCACAAATCATGGGATTTGACTATGGTTTTTTTCCATTTCTGTTATGGTCGTCTGCATATATATTTAACCCATTGATGTATCATCTGATTATGAATAAAATTCCATATTATTCAATCTGAGACTAGAGAAACAATAGGCATAGCCTTGTTGACAAATGAACCCAATTTCTCATTGGACCAAAGAGACCAATGCTACTTATTATGATCTCAACTGCCTGGGCTCTTGCTCAGATATGTCTAATTATTTAGATCTAATCTTTGCAATGTCAATGGTTGTTTTCAAAATACAATATTTAGGTATGCATCCTTAGCACTTCTTAGGTGTTTCTGTACATAGAAATTTTACTATTACCTCTTTTTCCACCAGATTTTAGTTGTATACACTGTCCATATACTCTACACGGTCATACTCTCTGAAATTAATATAGCAGCAACATATATGTTTGCAGAAAAAAATGTATTTGCATTTTGAGCACAGATGGTAAAGAGTTAAAATGAAATTCAGCCAAATTATAAATCATTTTAGAATATAAAATTCCAAATATAAATCTCGTACATGAAAAGATTAGCAGCCATCTGCATATGAAATCTTGATTTTTCATCCTTTATTACTGACGAGTCATGCTCTTTTCCAGGAGAAAATTCAATGTTTCCCAAATGTAAAATTGCAGCTAAGACACGAAATATGGCTTCCTGATAATAGGAAGCAAGGATAACTATTAGTAAAGGGAGGGCCATCAATAAATCTATCCATTAAATGTTTAAAGCATTCATCAAAGCAAGAGCTACACTAAGGGAAACAATATCACACCTGATCCTCATGAATAATTCCAACAATATCCATTGCCCTCCTCGTCTTCACGTATTCTTCAGCATTGCTAACACCATCTAGTTCATAGATTTTACTTTGATTTAAATAGTGGAAGTGACTCGGATGTCCTAACTTATACTTCTCTGCATTCTAAAATGAGGCATCCCAATTATAAATCATAACAATTAATACTTTGATTATGACATTATGAAAACCATAACCTGCACATCACAATGCAAATTATTGCATTATGCTGCAATATTAACCCCAAAATACAAATTAAATAAAAGGCCTAAAAGAAAATGAATACCCTTTCAAATGCACACAACTGATAAAAGCAGTGATAATTTCTTTCTGGATCCGTTATCTGTACTACTCGAGATCTTTCCAGTAAGTAAGTTCTAATTGCAGCACCAGAGATTCTACCATTTGAATCAAACTGAATTTCAACAAACTTCCCAAATCGACTGCAACCAAAAACAGTAATAATGTGAGGCTATGAGCAATATCAATTTCAATGGTAGAGTATCTACACCCCTACACCCTAAATACTGTTTGCAAAAAAAATGTAACATTGTGGAATTACCCAGATCATACAGATAGCATAATATCCATAAAATATGCGGCAATTGAAAAACCTTCATTATCTTATAAACCAAGAAAAAATTAAATACAATTAAGCCTTGGACTAAGATTTAAATCTTTCAAACTCCAATGCACCGCCGTGACTATGGTTGCTTCTGAATCTGAATTCCCAAACATCTACAATGGCATCAATTTTTTATAATATACAAGAATTTTCTTCCCATCTACATTCAACTCATTTTGAAATTTTAAGCATCCATGGTACAACAACTAGGCTTGCAAACAGGGTAACGAAAAGGACTGACATTCCCTACAAATATCTAATACAACTTGTAAAATCAGAATAATTTCTGTATCTCTTGTAAATTAAACTGTACAAGCTATCGGTCCCTATTTATAATACATTAGACGCATTAAAACATGAAAGAAATATCTTAAAAACCAATGCTTCCGATCAGCCAAAAAAACTACCTAAAGAAAAACAGATTAAATAAGGAATAAAGAATTCCTCTCAAATCACTCCCCTTTAATTGGGATACTGATTAGAAAAACTAGTTGTTTTCGGCAACTTGTTTCTGTAAATTTCCATCCTGGCCTTAGTATGCTTTAGATAGATACAAGACCAGATAGTAGGACCACCCTAACACAGCTTATTTTGTTAAATTTTAATGGGGAAGAGCAAATAAACTAGAAAATTGCAAAAGATGGAAACTACGGTGAAAGAAAAGCATTAGAGCGGGCGGGGGGGGGGGGGGGGGGGGGGGGGGGGACAAACTCAAAAAAGAGAACCAAATTCACCTTGAATTGTCATTCCTAACCGTCCTTGCATTACCAAATGCCTCTAAAAGTGGATTCGACTGAATCAAGTAAAAGTATAATCAGCATCCTATATTGATTCTAAATAACAATTGGAACCTGGAAGTAAATTAATCCCTGAAGTCTTGATTGATTGGATTCCAGAATAGCTTACTTCAAGAACTTGTTGTTCGACTGTTCTATCATCACTGGCCACACGTCCACCAACAAAGGTAAGATACTGCATAATCAATTTTGTTGTCTCAGTTTTTCCAGCACCACTTTCACCACTGACCAAGATAGATTGACTTTTACCTTCGTTCAACATTGCTCTAAATCATGACCAACAAAAGCTCAATAATTCGCAAAACAAAAAGGCAAATCGCAAATATTAGAAAAAGAAACATTCAAATATGATACAAACAAATAAAATGCATACTAACCTGTAAGATGCATCAGCAACAGCAAAAACATGTGGGCTAAGGTCACCAAATGGAGCTCCCTTATACTGCTCCATCATATGGATATCATACAAGTGAGGAAGCTTCGTGAAGGGATTAACAGCTATTAAGATGCTTCCTGTATATGTCTAACAAAGACAAACAAGTCAAGCAAAAAGCATTAAATAGCAGTCAACGTATAAACCAAGTAAAGTTCACTCAGCGAAATCACCAAAAGGAAACTGATGTTTTAAAAGCTACCGATAATATATTAATTTATAAATTTGACAAAGATTCTTCGGGTATGGGCTACCCAATCATTAAGTCATGCACCCATCAAAACCATCGATAAAAGTCCTCATAAATGAAAGCAATAATCTCATATGATTCATATATCAGTTCCACCTGAGAACACCATTTTCAAATAATAAAGAGTTATGTATACTAATCATTATGGTCTAAACTCATAAGTTAACCTCAATTGAACATCTAGAAACTAATGAAATCCAATCTATGAACACTCACATAAATATCATTGACAGCATATCTTCTACGAAGATTGTACAACACTCCTGGTTCATTCAAGTAAGCCAACCTCGTCATATCTTCGAATCCCCCATGCTCCTCTTCATCCGCATCCCTTGGAAACAGTTTCTCCGGCGAAGCAAAAACCTGCACCACCGCACCTCCCAAAACCAAAACTCGAACTATTAACAATCACCACCAAAACAATAGTAGCAAAAGAAGCAGCATATATTAGGCAACAAAATCACCTCCTTGCCAGAATCAGTTGCGAGCTGGAACCGGTTTCCATCGGAATCAACCACTTCAGCAGCCACCCAGGCTGAATCCCTGTATTGGACCCAAACTTTGGAGCCCTTGCGCAGGTTCATGGTTGCTGCAAATTACAAAACGAAGATTGAGATTGAAACCCTAAAATTAGAGAGACGTAGAGAGATATAGAGACAACATAGGTGAACTTTGGGTTCCCGCTCTAAGAAGTGTGTAGACTGTAGATTACGAGTCAAACATCAAAAATGGCGAAACTGCAGATTATTTATACCGTAGTCAACACGACACGTCACTCAGTGAGTTCCGTTTTCAACTGTTCTCACTTCTTTCGGTTCGTTTCTCACCTTCAACGTTCACGGTCTCCTGTAATACAGTACAAATTTTTTTTGTCCAAACTCATTAATAGTTTTAAAGAATTAAAAAAACCGACAGTGTGTGATTGTCAACGGCCAAAAAAAGTAAAAAATATAATTTGATTTGGTATACTGATAATAAAATTTAAATTTTTGTACTTCTTCAACTATTGTAAATCTTAGCCGATTGATGTTTTTTTTTTTAATATTTTTTTTTTTTAATATTCAAATAGATTCGTCACTTCGCGACTAGTTTAATTTGCGACAGATTTTGAGATTAAAACTTTAAACTTCTTTTAAAGACTATATTAGAAAGATGTAACAGATACTCTCAGCTCAGTTTCCTGACATCAACCAAACTAACTAATTGATGTTATTTGCCGGTGAACTGAGATTGGAGTTCGCATAAAGTTTTCATCTAATTATTAGCTATATATTTTAATGATTTCCATTTGATATTTGTGTCCGCAGAATGGTTTTGATAATATTTATTTCTCTGGATATTTATCTTCCATTGGTTTTTTTTTTTTTTGTGCATACTTTCTTTTTTGGATATAATCTCTATTTGGATAAGGTCATTGTTAGTTGTTAAAACTTGTATGATAATCTAAAGCTTATTAAACTTGTGCTTTGTACAACGCAGGCTCATTATGGAATGAGGATTTGATGATTGTTGCACAACCACCTTTCAGTGACACTCTTGTCCTCAGAGTTAAGCAAGGGACATTGCCTGAGCATGTAAGCTTGGGAAGGCATGAGCTTCATTTGAAAAAACGTGGATACGAGACTTGATGGTGGAAATGGTTATAGTAGATAGAATAACCTTGTTCCAAAGGAGGTGAAGTTTCCTAGTAAACTCAATGCAGGGATTTCTTTGGATGGTGCCTATCATGCAATGGATGAGCCTACTGAATATAGTAGTGACTTCCACTTTCATGCCTTCATCAAAGAAACTTTGGAAATCCAGCATTCAAGATGGAATCTCGAACTGATGCCTATTGTGTGGCTATCCAAAATGGGTGCCACGAGGACAATTGTTAGACAGTCTCTCACTAAAGAGGAATGAGCAATATATTTGGGAATAATATAAGGGACAAGAATCAAAATGTCATATTTTGGCATTTTAATTATCAAAATGTCACGATTTAGAAATAAAATGTCAAAATGTCACATTTAAAACCCGTTCTGCAAATTAACGGGTTCAGTTTGTCACGTGTATAGGGACTCGCTCTAAACAGTGACGGGTCGGGTCCTTGTATGTGTTACACGTGACAAAATAATAATCCAACTGCATAAAAAGATACTGTTAGTTGTCACGTGGCGTACGTAGTCGTATAGCGACCCGCTTTCGTGAATGACGGATCCAATATCTGTCACTCTTCAAAGAAGGTCGTTGTATGTGCGACACATAGCAAAACAGTAACCCAACTACGTAAAAAGACACAATCAGTTGTCACGTGTCGCGCGTACAACATACAATGACCCGCTTTTAGGAATGACGGATCTTGAACCTGTCATTGCTCAAAGAGGATCTTTGTATGTGTGACATATGGCAAACTGAACCTGTCGATACTCAGATAGACAGAGTCTTGAAATGTGTCATTTTGGTATTAAGCTTTCGAACCATGAAATTCCGGTAATTAAAGGGCCGACCCAGTTCAAATACCCACTTCGTGAGTGTCTGGGGAAGGGAATACTCTAGGCAGTCTTTCCCCTGCTTTTTGCAGAGAGGCTGATTCGAACCCGCGACCTGACACACCACGGCAAGCAAGCTTACCGCTGAGCCAAGCCGGCCCTTCCGGTAATTAATTTCAAAAATTGTGGCAGTATGATCGTTGTTGCAACGTTTGACAACAATCAGTTAGATGCTAACAGTAGAGCTAGAAGAGCATGTGATACCATAATGGGTAAGATACACATCCTTGTAGATTTGCAACCTACCCACGTTTAACCCTTGCTTCCTATACATTAGTATGTCTTACCACTGTCTCTTGCTCAATTTGATACTTTAAAAAATGGAACTGCTCATACTTGCACAGAGGTTAAGCAGGGCAGAACCACCAACTTAAGAAATAGGTTGTGTATAAACTACCAGAAAATCCAATTGCCACATAATTTTAACATGGTCATAAGTCTTATTGGTGACTTTGCTGCCTTCGGGAAATGGTTAGAGGGTATAAACTACTGGAAAATCCAGTTGCCACATATCATTTTTTAGCTTTCAGTGCATTCTTATGCTCTTCTACATTTTCTGAGCTGGGTTGAAGCCTTATTTTAAGAGTTCTAGGCATCATTGTCACATAGTTGCAAAATTGTGGTGTTGGTTTCCTTATAACAGTCACTGTTCCTGATCAAGCTATCATCTTCCTTTGGGTTATATTCTAAGTGCTTGTTTGGAAATCACTTTTAGGAACAAAGAGAAGAAAGGAGAGGATTTTACTTATACCTTCTTTTATTTGTAAGTTTAAAATAAGGGAGTTAATAATCTCGTGTTATTAGAGATAGTATTTTTATGTAGGTGGGACACATAAGTGAGATCCACAATTTAAAAAAAAAAATTGACACAAAATTCTATGTGTGTATATCATAAGATAACTGTCTTATGTCATATGATACTTATATTTTCCTTTTAAAAATGGGGAAAGGAAATTAAAGATTTTTATAAAATCCTCCAAAACACTTCACACACTTAAAATTAAAATTCCCCCAATTCGAGAGTTTGAGAGAGGAAATATTAGAAATTAACCTTTAGCATTAAAATGTGAAAATTACATATATGTGAATCATTTTTAAATGTGATACTATTAAAAAAAATTCAAATACCAATAGAACTTATTGACGAAAATAGTGACAGAATTTTCGAAGTATGAAGAAAAAAATTTATGACGAAATTATAAACGAAACAAGATTTGATCATAATTAATGACAAAAAATTTCGATAGAAAAAATATCCATCAAAAATCTTCATAGAATCTAAATTTCATCCAAAGTTTTGGTGAAAACATTTAGGGTTCATATTTTCTCATGTTGTAGGATTGCATGAGATAAAAAAAGTAGAGAGAAATTAAACGTGGGTCCCACATTTTATATTATAAAAGAAAAGAAAAATTAATTGGCACGGAAAACGAATCTGTGTAGGAAAATTTTTTGCTCTCCCGTGACATGAGAGCATGATTTCCCAAACATTTATGTCGAAATTTTCCCCGAAATCTTCTTTTTATCAAAACTTTTAACGAAATTTTTTTCAAAATTTTGGAGGGAAAAATTTTTGTTGAAATTTTTTTAAGAAAACAAGTTTTGCCAAAAATTTCACGAAAATTGATAACATATTTTTTTTGAAACTTTTAACGAAAAAAAATTAGATTAAAACTTTCAACAAAAAAATATTTAAAAAATTATTTTTTGTCAAAACTTATTACAGAAACTAAATTTCTTTAAAAATTTCCAACAAATTTTTTTTTGTCCAAATTTTCAAAAAAAATAAACATTTCATCAATCTGCATGAAACTTTCACCTAAATGTTTTTCAATTGAAAATTTCCATCAAATTTTTTGAAAAAAACACGTTATCAATTGGGATCAAAATTTTCAACAAAATTCATTAAATAAATATTATTTAATGTTTATTTTTTCAACAAATAAAAAATTTCTTCAAAAAAAGTATTTTTGACAGAAATTGTCATTTGCAACAACAAAAATATGATTATTTTTTCTTAATAATATAAAAAGTACATAATAATATAAACTCTGCCCATGTGTAAAAGCTTGTAACGGATCATCAAGTTATTTTCCTATCACGGTAGGTGTACACCAAGGGTCGGCTCTAAGTCCTTACCTATTTGCCTTAGTTATGGATGAACTAACAAAAGATATTCAAGAGGAAGTGCCATGGTGTATGCTTTTTGCAGACGATATTGTGCTTATTGATGAGAGCAAGGAGGGTGTTAATAGAAAACTTGAATTGTGGAGAAGCACATTGGAATCCAGAGGATTCACATTAAGTCGAAGCAAGACTGAGTATCTGAAGTGTGAGTTTTCTCTGGTACAAGATGAGGACCAAGAACCTGTGCATCTAAATGGTCAAGAGGTACCCAAAAAAAATGCTTTTAAATACTTGGGCTCCATTTTACAAAATGGTGGAGAGATTGATGAGGATGTAGATCACAGAATCAGAGCAGGGTGGATGAAATGGCGTAGTGCATCTGCATTTTTGTGTGACCGCAAAATTCCCCTGAAGTTAAAAGGAAAATTCTATAAAACGGCAGTACGACCGGCAATGCTATATGGAGCGGAATGCTGGCCAGCACATAGGCAACATGAGCATAAGATGGGAGTAGCAGAGATGAGGATGTTAAGGTGGATGTGTGGGTACACAAGGATGGATAAGATAAGAAATGAAGATATTCGACGAAAGGTCGGAGTAGTACCGGTAGCCGAGAAGATGAGAGAACATAGATTGAGGTGGTTTGGGCACGTGATGAGAAGACCCATGGATGCTCCTGTAAGAACAGAAGTTTGTTACCAAGAGCTAAACACAAAAAGAGGCAGAGGTAGGCCGAAGCTTACTTGGGGGAAAGTAGTAAAACAAGATTTAATGGAGTGGGATATAGATTGGCGGACAGTATGTCTTAGAAAGGAATGGAGAAAAGCTATAAGTATGGTGGAGGGTTAGACCCGCTGTTATTCCTATGTTCCAGATGGTCCTTTTTTAGTCCTTTTCCCCTTCATTTCCCCCACTTCTTCTAGTCCCTTTCTTTTTTACTTTTATTTATTTATATATACATATATTTTTATTTCATTTTATTTTATTATTTTATTTGTGTATTTTTATTTATTTATTTATTTATTTATTTTATTTTATTTTACTTTTTTATTTTTTTTTACTTTTTTTCAACCGTTTTGTATCTTTCATGTGGGTTCATCTACCACCGACCCCAATTAATTTGGAATAAAGGTGTTGTTGATGTTGATATTTAATTTTATTTACAAAATATAATAATATTATTATTCTTTAAAAAAATATAAAAATATCTCATTAACACTTTATTTTTTCTCCCTTATCATATATTTAGCTCCCAAAATAAAAGAAAAAAATACCCTTTATTCTTCTTCTTCCTCCCCATTGGATCCCTTACCTTCCCATCCCATCCAAACTCCAAACAAAACCTTAGTAAATGGTATGAGGTAGTTGTAAAAGAGGCAATGGACAATCCGCTGAATATTGCCAGCATTCAGACAGATGACTGATCAGGGCCAGCTAAGAAGCAGTGCATTATTGCTGTCATCATATTATGCACTGCTTCCTCCAACATTTTAAGAGCTACTTACCCCACCCTGCCCAGTGGGCCCAGTGGGCCCCCAGACCCTTTATTACTGCAATCTTGTGCTCTACCAAACAATTAAGTACAAGAATTGGCTTACTGCACCTTTCAAATTGTAGTAAGGTGATACATATCTTTCCTGTTCCAAACAACACAAACTGATACTACAAATTTTTTATACACATTTTCATTAACTTATCCACCCACTTTCCCCCTGCCTCATTCACCTTTTTTTTCTCTCTCTCTTTGAATATACATGATTCTTAATTTGATTCTTTCAAAATCCTCACTCACTGTTCTGGGAGATTACCTCTCCAAACTTGAGGAAGAGCTGAGCATCAGAGGTGCTCATGGATGGATAGTTAACCAAGTGTGGTGTCTTGAGATTTGCATATTCATCCATGTAGCATGGCACTTTAGCAGCTGGTTGGTGTGATGCAGGTGGTGGCAGTGGAGCTGGTTGTTTTGGTGGGGTGATTGATGACACAAGACTTCCCAGCACACGTGTCACTTCATGCATTGTGGGCCTATCACATGGCTGCCTCTTTGTGCATAATAGAGCAAGTTGATAAACCTTTTTTACTGCTCCCAGGTCCTTGCATGTGGCAGTAATATCAGGATCAACGGTTTCCATTACAGCATTGTTTGCAGTCTTGGACAAAATCTACACAAAATAAGAGTCACTTGACTGAAAATTAACTCACGTATCAAACATTCTAAACATTCTAGCGCATACACAGTGTAAAGAACCAATTCAACCCAAAAACTTAAGCTACTGGGTGAGGCTACATTAATGGTTTTATATATCTCAACACGTCCCCTTACACGAGAGCCCACTGGGCTTGAAAGATAGACAATGCACAGGCCCACTTACCTGTGCGAAGAAAGAAATTCCACTAGAAAGAAAATTGGAAGCGATGAGGATTGAACCCCGTACACCGAGGCTCTGATACCATGTAAAAAAACAAATTCAAACCAAAAGCTTAAGCTTTCAGGTGAGGGCCCTTTTAATGGTTTATATTATTCTCTAACACACAAATTATCCACATTCCACATACTAAGGATAGAGCAAAATCACACACCTAGTCCATGCAAGACCAATGTTATCCATAAAAATACATCCACAAAAACACCCTAGCTCAATGCTCAAGATATTTGTGGAGCAAGGCAATAGGACACAGCAAATGTTTCAAAATGTGTAGCAAACTCACCAGGTGATGGAGGTTGGATTCATTGTCAACAGCTTTCTTCCCAGTTAGCAACTCAAGTAAAACAATACCATAGCTATACACATCAGACTTCTCAGTGAGCCGGGTAGTTCTAGCATACTCAGGGTCTATATAGCCAATTGTGCCCAATATGTAAGTAGAAGTATGAGACTTCGAGGGGCAGAGACTTTTGGCAATCCCAAAATCAATGAGATGGGGCTCAAAGTCTGCATCTAATAAAATATTACAAGATTTCACATCCCTGTGGATGATACGTGGACTGCAATCATGGTGTAGATAAGCAAGCCCTTGGGCTGCTCCAAGTGCTATTTTTAGACGCAGATCCCAGTCAAGCTTTTTCTTTTTGGTAGGTCCTGAAAAAAATGGTATATAACAAAGTCATGCACAATAAAATCATTGTCTGGCTTCTAAATCTTATCTGAATAGTTGTTATCCAATGCAGCGAGTGGCACGCAAATGCCCACTTCACATAACCATGTAGGATTGTATCATATACTACCTCCCTCCTAACTTGCTGGACAACCATAATGGATTAATTGATTCTTCTAACAATATTTCTTCATCACATTATTTACAAGGTCTATATGCAACCGACCACATGAATACGGCAGAAAGCACTCAAGAACCCCAAGCAAAAGGCATACATGAAACTAGAAACTTCGTTACATGAGTCAGTCATGCATCTTAGAAGAACTTCACATCACATAATAATCCACCATATTAAAGAGGAGATTATAAAAAATATTTCCAAATACAGCATTACATGCACATAAGCAGAAGTCAAAAAAATTGCTTGAACCTACCATGAAGAAGATCCCATAGACTGCCATTTTCCATGTAGTCGTAAAACAAAAGGTGGCCATATGGGGACAAAGAGTAGCCTTGAAGACTGACCAGATTCCGGTGCTTAATGCTTCCAACTGTCGCAAGTTCAGTCTCAAATTCTTTCAAGCAATCTGGATGGTGAGAATAGAGCCTCTTGATAGCCACTGGCTTGCAATTCTTAAGAACACATTTATAAACTGTACTTGATGCACCATATCCAATTATATACTTCTCGTGCAGGTTTTCAGTTATCCTCATGATATCCTCATACACATGAAGTGCCATATTCATATGAAGAATCACTAGTTTTGGAGGTGAGAAATTAACTGTCAATTTCCAAGCTCAAGCAGTCAGTAGCTTGTCAACTTCAGTTTCGAGAGGCAAAATTATAAAATACTTTCTAACCATATTTAACATTACAAAATCCTAAAAATTGATAAACAGCCATATCAACTTTAAAGCACACCATTACACAATCAAATCAATTTCTATCATACTGGATGAAAGCCACATCCACTGAAGACAATTAATTAAAATCTAAAAAACTCCAACTTGCTCTTAGGACCTATGCTAGATAAAATAAATTCAGAGCTATGATGAGGGTTTGATTATCTACTAATTTGCGATTCTGGGTGTCTAAAGCTACAGCTTAAATTGTCCGGATGCAACAAAGATAAGTACCTGGTTTGTCGAGTGATCCATCAGGAAAAGGAGATGGATTGTGTGGTCGGCAAGCTGCCAGCAATATCATAAGAATAATTACAAGTGCACCTAGAGTAATTCCCAGGATAGCCACCTTAGATAATGTAACTGCAAGATCAATAACATATATTAGCACCAGTGTTAGATATCCCGGCTCGGACCAGTCAACTGAATGAATAAATAGACAAAAAAAATATCAACACCAACGATCAAAATCCCTAAGTTGCAACACCAAAACGAAAAACAAAACAAGATTAAGTTGGATTGAAACCATAGGAGACAAGGAGGGAGGACATGCTTTGCCAACATTTTTCCTTGCTAACAACCAATGGAGAGGATTTGCCAAAATCATTGCTAGGTACCATTTCAACTTCTCTAACCAATTGATTTCTTTCTTTCTTCTAACCAATTGATTTCTAATTTGCAAAGAATTGTGGTGATACCTGTCAAACCATTGGAGGTAATACAATTTGGATCCAAAAAAAATTAATATAACAAAAGCGCCAGAAATTTATATCATCGTGCATGTGTACTATCTTTCTTTTTGGATCCATTGCATGATGACATAAATTACAAGCGGTTTCATAATACTAATCATCTTTTGGATCCAAATTGTATCACCCCCAATAAGTTGAAATAGTACTTAATGCTGATGTAGACAGATCCTTTCCTTTGCCAACAGTGATGTTGGCAAAGAAAATTATCCCTCCTTGTCTTCTATGCTTTCAATCCAACTTCTTCGAGTTTAGTGTAGGAAATTATCCCTCCTCTCCTATGCTTCCAATCCAATTTCATCGTGTTTTGGGTTTTGTTTTGGTATTGCAACTTATGGATTTAGAGTGTCGGTGCTAATAAATTTTTTTTACTATTTTTTCATTCTGTTGATATGCTTTCAAAATGAACTAGTTTGACTTATTATTTTTTTAAAAACCATATGCATGTCCCATTGATTTAAACAAAACCAATCGGGTCATCGGTGTTTTAAAAAAACCGGTCAAGCCGAACCAGTTCTCATCGGGTTGGCTATATCACCATTTTTCGGTTTGACCCGACTGGTCTAAGCCGGGTTTAATCAAACGGATTTGAGTATGTTTGTGGAATTCTGAATATAAAATATAGATTTGCATATATTTAAACGGTTCAACCAATGACCCAATACTCCGGTCAAATCCAAGTTTAATAACATTGAGAAGAACATAGCTTCTATGTATGACATCCATTCCAATCATTTTGCAATGATATAAGCAACAATGAGTCAATGATGATGAGAAACTGGCAAAGTGCTAGTTATCTCTCATGTACTGAATCCCATTCCTATTTGTTAATCATACAAGTAATTTGTTTTAAAATATAAAAGTCAAGCATATTTAGGTAATTTGTGGAGAATTAGTTTTCAGTAGAATGTATGTTGGAATAATGGATAAGATATGGAATTTTTAATAAGTTATTTGATATGATTGAATAACTAAATAATTTTTTTCTAATGAGAAATTATGTCATGTAATACGCTACTATGCTTTGTGCACCTACCATATATTAGGTTGGAAAAACTAACTTTTCAACGTGATTTAATAATAATTAACTTCATGTTGAGAAGTGATTTGGTCCAAACCTTATCAACATGTGTGGAAAAAGAAAGCACATTTCAGCACAATTTCTCGCCAAGGGCAAAAAGAAGAAAATGATTATGAATATTAATAACAAAAAAAAGCCACAATCAATTATATGTACCCCATCTCAAAATAATAACGATCCCTATAAACTTCATATGTTCTACCAGGCATAGTATAGTATTGAAGTAGAACAAGGGAATAACTTTTCAGGAAAAGGAAGAGATTTCAGGGTGCTCAGTGCTCACAGTACGGCCAAAGCATAGAAGGAAGGGGGTAATAGGACATTCCTGCTAGAAAGTTCAGCTTACCTCGCTCTACAGGGCGAGAACCATGGCAGGGCAAATTCAACCAATTACCACAAAGACCAGGGTTTCCAACGAAACTGCAAATAAAAGGTTGTATCAATCAATCCAAAATAACATGCTGTTGACCAACTAGACTAAATTGTTAGGGAACATAAAAAGGAAAAAAAGACAAAGATCCATACCTGTCAGGGGGGAACCTGGTAAAGTTGTTGCTTGTGGGAATAACACCAACTAGTTTGTTATAGGACACGTTACTACAAAATTTGTGGTAGATATTCAACTTATTAGGTTAAAGTAACATGTTGCGTTAGTAATATCATGCCAAATTGTTCAAAAATGAAGGCTCAACTTACAGCAGAGAAAGACTAAGGCAAATTACAAGTGACGTCACATCCCCGGTTAATTTGTTGTTTTCGAGCCTCCTATATATCATTTTAAACCAAGAAAAATAGAAATATCAACAACGATAATGATTAGTAAAATTACCAAAGTCTAAGATCATCCACCATATTTACATGTGAAAAACAAGCTAAGAGACCAAATGGTTAATTCTGAGGCCATTCAATTCCTATTGAATAAAACGCAAGTCCGTATTAGTTTGATGAACACTACTGATTATTAGGCATGTTTAATTTGAACAAATCAATAGAACCCCCAAAGTGGAAAGTAAATCCCACCACAGTCATTTATTTCCAGCATCCAAGGCAACTAATCACAGAATATAGAACAAATATTGAAAAAAGATACAGAAGAAACTTACAAGGATATAATGTTCTGAAGCTGACTAAGTTCTTCAGGAATCAAGCCAGAGAGTTGATTATTTGAAAGATCTCTACAACATAGAAGCATGTAGAATAATTAGGAAAGCAAAAACAATAGAAACCAAAGAAAAAATGTTTTCTTCAAAAAATATAGTGGACTTACATGTCCATAACACTCCTAAGATTACCAAATTCTGCTGGAATAAATCCTGTTAAATTATTTCTGCTCAGATTCCTAACAAAATGAATACTAGCAATCAGTAAGAAGAAACAGTTCAGATTCTAAAAATTAACTAGGCAGATAACTTACAGCTTCAGAAGATGTTCCAAGTCACCGAGGGAAGAAGGAATGGAGCCAACTATATTATTGTTTGAAATATCCCTGGGAGGAAATCATCTATTAGTATAAAGTCAGAGAGATTTTGGCATAAGGAGATATGTTAAATTATTGTATACTTACAATGTATCCAAATTACCAATCCGTGACAGTTCAATTGGAATGGAACCTTGAAGATTGTTGGAAGAAAGATTCCTAAGGATGGTCACAACAATGTAATGAAGCAATAAGAACCAATGAAGCAAAAGAGTAATAGCTAAAAGCTTGACGCAGGAAAAGAATTGGCCAAGCATGATAGCAATCCAGATGTGCATGTATGTATACGCTTATACATGAATACAAAAGAGTTGCAGGTTTTTTCAAACAAAGGTCCAAGAAAATTAAGGTGAGACTTACAAATAAGTCATACTCTCCAAGCTCTGCAAAGCAGGGGGAATTGTTCCAGTCAACTTGTTCCCATGCACATTGCTAATACAACAGAATAGAAAAATCCGTCAACTTAATATATTACAAAAACCTTGTAACTAAGTATAAGTACAAGTTTATTGCTTACAGGCTGTTAAGATTTTTACACGAGCTAATGTTGCCAGGAATTGACCCCTCAAGGTTGTTGTTAGCAACATTTCTGCAAGAATGATGAGTGACTACTCATGAAACTAAAAACAAACAAAATTGATACTTCGAAGTAACAGCACTTACAAGTCGAACAGATCAGTAAGTTTTCCAAGATCTGGCGGGATATGTCCACTTAAATGGTTATTATTTAGTTCCCTGCAAAAGGTTAAACATTAGAGGCTAATACATTAAACCAAATTTTACCTGGTTAAGACTGGTGAACAAACAATTTCTACAGAAACACCAGGCTGATATTTGTGAACCCTAATTCACTGTAAGAAATGATTTACAGACAAGATGATGAATTATATAGAAGAGATGAGAGAAGTATAAACCTCCAAGAAATGCCTCTAGCAAATATTTCTTTGCTCAAATCAAAACTAAACTAAACATAATTTCACATTCGTAATTGACAAGGTTCCACATAGAAGTTCTGAATTCAGAATGAAATGATAATTAACTATTCGAGAGGAGCGTGAGCATCTTACAAGTAGTGAAGCTTTGTCATATTTCCAAGCTCTGGGGGAATGAAACCAGTCAGCTTGTTTCCATGCAAGTACCTAACAAACATTTCAGAAATTGAGACCAAAATATAATAAGTCTAGAATTTTTCTAGAAGTTGTTGATATGCCCAACCTAGGACACAGTTAATGGATACAACTTTAAAACTACTTATACTTACAATTTTTCTGTGTAAGTCAAATTTCCCAGGATAGGAGGGATTGGTCCACTTAACATGTTACAACTCAAGTCTCTGGATTAAAAATTTGGAGAAAAAAAAAAGTATAAGAACACCAGTAAAGAAGTGAAAAAACATCAAGTCAATGACCAAATTTCATAAAGTACGTTTCAGAAACTACTATCTAAAATGCTTACAAGACAGCAAGTGCTTGCATGAGACCGATCACTGATGGAATATTTCCAGAGAGTTTATTGCCTTGCAATGACCTACCAAATTCAAACAAATATATCATGAATTTCCAAGGAAGGGAAGTGGAAAACCAAAAACTACTCGATAAAAAAATAACTTAAAAAAGGATTACGCAACACGTACAAGGTCGCTACTTGCAGAAATCCAATGTTGAATGGTATCTCTCCGGTTAACTGGTTGTAAGATAAATCCCTGGCATCAATAGAAGACGTTAAAAAAGGTAAGAGGAAAATAAGACAAGGGAAGGCAAAGTCTGTCATATAGTTGGATTACATACAAGACCTGGAAGGCAGTACAGTTGCCTATGTTTTCAGGAATACTTCCTGTTAGGCTATTGTTTCTCACATCACTACAAAATAGTAGGAAGAAAATAATCAGAATCTCATAGGAAATGGACATTTTCAAGGCATGGAATAAAAAAGAGTGATGAAGTAACTTACAAATACCACAATCCAGTTAACTGGCACATGTCTGGCGATAGTGAACCAACCAATTTGTTCCCACGCAAGCCCCTATTATATGCAAAGTAAAAGAGAAAAAAACCAACAAAATTAACAGTAAGATTACATCATGGGGTGTGATACAAATGTTAATTAATACTTCAAAGAAATGATGATTTTATTTGCATATAGCTTAGACTCACAGATACTGCAAAACTTCATTCCAGTATATAAGCCTTGGGATTTCACCATTAAGCTCATTTTGTGCCAGGTCTCTAGAACATATTTTCCAGGAGTTGAAAATGTTAGTCTTACAACTTATAATTAGTAATAAGAGGAGGGGAATGAGAAACACAAAAATGACTTACAGAATCTTCAAGTTGGGAATCTGAGACAAAGTTGAAGGTATTGGTCCAATTAACTGATTATTTTTCAAAATCCTGAGATGCAATTTATAAAGAAAAACCAGTCATAACCTCAACCGCGGATTGGTAAGACAAAATTTTCAATTACAGAGAAATACTCACAGATTTTCCAGTTGTTTCAACTTGGAAATTGAAAATGGTATATCACCCCGTATTTCATTAAATGACAAGTCCCTGAAAGCACAGTAAAATATTCAAGTTCGAAGTAAGTCACTAAGTGGTTTAATTATAAATTGAATTAAGTTCTTCTGGATGTGAAACATACAGGCTTTTCAAAGAAGAACAGTCACCAATCTCATCGGGTATCTGCCCTGATAGTCTGTTTTCTTTTAGGTCACTGTATCAAACAAGACAACATGTAGCAAGAAGGATAAGCAAAACTACATCCACTGCAAACATGAATGAAAAGAACAATGTGTGAAGTAGAGGAGTAAGTACATAGAGACCAAGCTGTTAAGGCTCCCGATTGCAGGCGAAATTTCACCATCAAGATTTAACCCTGAAAGATTGCTGCAAATAAAAAAAAAAATAGCAAGATAAAATGAAATTTGATTTTTTCATTGACAAAGAACCTAGCAAAGAAGCTTATATACGATGTCCAAGGACACGGCAACTCACAGTGCAACAACATTGAAGGTTACATTATCACATGAGATGCCTCTCCAGGCACAATAATCTGATGATGGTGAGTCTGTCCAATCATATAGAACGTTATCCACATCCCTGAATGACTTCTTAATCTCTAACAATGTTGCTCCTACATTTGAAATATTCAAACATTAGCCACACATAACATAGAAAGAACCGTGAAGTCAAAGGAAACCAAGGTTTCCATATCATATTCATATATTCATATTCCGGGTACCATGTTTTATATCATGCAAAACCATATACAAAAAAGAAAAAATTCCACTATGTAAACTCATGCAGAAAACAAGCATTAGTAGTAGAAGCCACATAATTCATTCTAACAACGTGGGAATTGGCACTCGCATTAAAAAAGAAAAAATAACAAGATCCAAAATTCAACCAAGTCAAAATCAGCATTCGCGGGAAAAAGGCGCTGACTTTAAGAAAGAAAAAATTGGACCAACTGAAAACAGCGGATGAAGTACTCTGTTTGGTTGCCGAGAAAGCAAGAAAGAAAGAAAAAAGTTAAAAATTTCAGCTTTACGTCTTTTGTCCAATACCCTTCACCAAAAAAAGGAAAGAAGAGAGAAAAAATTGTGAAGAACTTGACTCCCTAACAATGGCAATCACAAGTACCATAAAAGCCAAAGTTTCAACTTTCAACATTCTTGTGTTCTCCTTCTCCCTCCCCATAAAGTATTTGTTAGGAAATCCACTCCAAACACAACAACCAAAAAAAAAAAACCTTGAAACAGTAAACGAAACTCACCATCATCTGAATCCACGGAATTGGCATTCAAACAAATGAGCAAAGCAAGAAGAAGGAACCCAAATCGAAATGCCATAGCTGCAACTGCAACACTTTAACTTCACACCAGCTAAAGCATCAAAGCACTCAACAACCACCAAACAAAGCTCTTATTCATGCACAAGGGAACCAGCAAAAGAAGAAGAAGAAAAGATTCTGCTATGCTTTAATAGCAGTGGCACTGAGCACCATTCAAATGGTTCAAGAGATAAAAGGGTAAGGTGAGTTAGCTTTTGAAGTATTCTTCTGCGTATTCTCCATATCATATAGCTTTTTATGTGATTATTTTAGAGAAGTTGGGTTTCCATGTTCGGATATTTTTTTTGACGGTATGTAACAGAACAAGCTCATAGCTTTAGCTGTTCAATCACATCGTTCTGGCACAAACATCACTCCCTAGTGCAAGTGTAAGATGTAGAAAGAAAAGGGAGAGAAAAAAATAAAAATACAAATACAAATACAAATGAGATGAGAGATAGAGGAAAATTATTTCACACATAAAGTTAAAACTATCTGCCACCATTTCTGCTACGAACCTGCAACTCTGCACCACCTCTCTTCTTCTCTCTCTCTCTCTCTCTCTCTCTCTCTATATACCCCTTAACTTTCTCTTTTTTACATTTGTTTTCTCTCTCTCCTTAAACTGTTATGCTATGTGCTATGCCATTCAGCCATAGTAAATGACACTGTACCTATGCTATGCTATGCTGTGCCATTGGTTTTAACTTTTGATTCTCAGGGGTCACTATCTGTGTGGTTTTTGCTACGAGAGTTTATGGGGAAACGGTCATGTAAATAAGGATAGTGATATATTTATTTACACAATATTTTTACTGTGTGATTTTTTTAAAAATTAATAAAGTAGAAAATTTTACATTTTAATATGGTATCATTTTAAAATAATAGTGATATATTTTTTATTATTTTTACTGAACAAGTTAATTTTAAAAAAAAAGTTTGGAAAAATGATGTCATTTTTCAGTAAGATAGGCAATCCATTTAAGATGACAGGGACGTCTTTCTCTTTCTCATACACTCTTTATTGCTAATTTTTTGGGCTTTGGATTTATATTTATGATATTTTACTCCTTTTCTTATAATTTGAATATTTTTCTATTTATCTCTTTGCCACTTTGCCCTCTCTCTCTCTCTTCTCGCCTCATTTATTTATCGCTTTTGTTTGGTAGTGAATCTAGTGATACAACCTCATTTAATTATTAAATATAATCTCTATTATCGATCATACAAATTCTCTAAGTAGTATTGTTTTTTGCAATTTTAATATAAAAGCTAATTGTTTTTGTTATTTATTTTGTAATTAATTTTAAAATAAATATAAATATATTAATTTCAAGAATAAATTATTCAACTATTTCGTATATTTTATTGAACACGTGTTTTGCTTTAATTTATTATTACTTTTTTATAAACATATGTGTATTAAAAAAAATAGTATAACAAAAATGTATTAAAATGTGAATTAATTTATGCTATTAAATCTCTCTTGTTTATATAAAATATAAAAAAACACACATAAAACATCCATCTAAAATTACATATTTTCAACAAAACTCTTTAGAAATAAAAGAATCTTATCTCTCTTTTTTAACTTAATTTAGGGTTATGTTTATCTCATTTTACATGAGATAAACATCTCTCCTACACACAAAAAGGGTTGGGTCCCACCACTTTTTTTTTCTCTCTCCTCTTACATGTGGGTCCCACTTATACTTTTATTTCTACAACATGAGGTAATTCTTTTCCTACAACATAAGAAAAATATATCCCTAATTTATATTAGTTAAGCCGTTTGGGTTTTATTTCAACTTAACACACAAGTATCTCAAAGTCAATTATTAAATAAATGCCTTTGATAATTTTTAATTTAAATATTAAATTATTTTATTATATTATATAATGATCTCTTTATAATGCTACGTTAAAGTTCAAATTCTCCTAATACTAAATATCAAAAATATTTTTATTTTTGGTAAACCAAAAATATTTTTATCCCTAATTGGAGTAGCGAGAGATGAATTCAAATGTAAAATACGAAAAATTAAAAAAAAAATGGGATCAAAATAAAATTAAAAATATATATATAAGTAACAGATATTAAAAAGTTGCAATAAATAAATAAAAAAATAAAGATACATAAGAGAACAAAATTTAAAAATAAAATAAAATAAAAAATTAAAGAGAAGATAAATATATAATGTGTATTTGGATATATATACTTTTATTTAAAGTAGTTTATAATAAATTTTTATATAAAGTTAATATTTTCAAAATTAATTGAAACTAAACATATATGAAAATGATATTCTTTTATTTACCTACTTGGTTTTGTCAACAGTAAGATTATAAAAATAAAAATAAAAAGTGCCCTGCTAAACTAAGATGTATATTTAAAATTTCAAACTATGAAAACTAACTTTATATGTGTAGCACAAATTAATTTTTGTAAATATTAGCTAGAAACTAGTTATGTAGTCTCTTAATATTTGCAAGCTATCAACATCGGCTTTTTGACCCTTCTGCCCCTCATTAATTAATTAATAACCAATTTGCCCCTGATCAAGAACTATCCACCAACCTGTCCCCTTTTAGTCGACTACCTTGCTGTTTTAGTCGAGTAAATGGTCAATCTTCAGAAAGTGGACTACCGCAAATTTAGTCGACTAAAAAATCATCTTAATCGACTACATTTTTGGGATATTTAGTCGACTAAGTAACGATATTGAGTCGACTAAATGTCGACTGAAACCCTATATTTTCCATGTTTTCGGTCTCATTTCGATTGTTGTTGTTGTGTAAACCTAAATAGCTCCCTTTGTTCATGTGTAATCCTCTCAATCCGATTGTATTTCATCCCCCCATCTCTACAGACCTAATATTGTGAAATCATTGTCATTGCCCAATTCCAAACCCCAAAATCCGAACCCAAACCCCCAATTTCAGAACCCAAGTCCCAATTTCGCGAGGAAGATGAGCACAAGTCCAAACATGTATGTGACAATGATCTACTATGATGGAAAACATTATGAAGGCCCCAATGGTGTTCAATTTGAAGGAAAAACGAAAATGTTGAAAATCAAACGGGGCACTACATACAATGAGTTAAAGGAGAGAATTCAGCAAAAATTGGGTCTGCAAGGCAGCCAATGCGTTCAACGGATGATTGCCAGGGTAGAGACAACAGTTGGTAAGGATGCTATTTACTACATTGGTAACGATATATGTGATGATGAAGATGTCGAATGTGTCATAGATGCAATTGTTGACCGAAAATTTCAAAATTTTATTGAGATATATGTTGAATTAGATTGTGGTCAATCTTCATCTGCACCCATGCATACAAGAAGTGAACCGTATTTTGGTCATGAAGAAAGAGTAGTCGATTTATCTGCACCTGCACATGTCATAAGTCAGATAACACTGCGGGAAATAGATGAGGATGAACAGGATGCCGATATGGACAGCGATGAGGACGGTGAACCTGAGAGTGTTATTCCGCTAGGTGACACGTCAGGTACTGACGTAGAAGGTGATTTCGACGCTGACACAAGCTCACCATCCCCGGGTTCGCAGGTTATGAGACCACTTCGTGTTGACCCTGTTAGCAGTGGTAAGATTTGTTTTTTAAAGATTTAATTTAGCAATTATTTTTTTTGTTATGAATGGTATTGACGGTGGCATTATAATGCATCCGTAGGTTCTGAGGTCGAGCCATTTTGGAATGAAAGCTCACATTATACCTTCATTAATTGGGCCCACCCTAATGATGAGACAGAGATATTGTATGGTGACGATGATGATCACGGTGGCTGGCAATTAGGGGATCCTTTATATTTGTATCAGGAGTTTCGTAGCAAATCTGAAATGCAACATGCAGTCAAATTATATTGTATGAAGGCTCACCGTACTGCCGTTGTGGCAAAAAGTGATGACCATAGATTTGTGATGAAGTGTCGACACCATAATGATGGATGTCCCTGGTATGTGAGGGCATTGTTGCCGAAGAATGGAAATACTTGGGTGGTTAGTAAATGGGTTAAAGAACACACCTGCCTAAACCAAGGTCTTACCCGGGATCATAGACAGTTGGATTCTGATGTGATATGTGCAACCATTATCAGTATGTATTATTCGATATATCTAACTTCCTAAGGTATGTTTACGTTAATCAGTTTGTATTCTGACTGTTGGCCGGTGTTTTTTTTTATATAGGTATGTTAAAAGAAGATCCATCATTGAAGCCAGTTCTTATTCAAGAGAGGGTACAACGTTTGTATGGATACAACATATCTTACAGGAAAGCTTGGAAGGCTAAAATGAAAGCCATTGTCAAGTTATTTGGCGACTGGGATAAATCGTATGCATTCTTGCCTGGTTGTCTGACATACATGACGCAGGTTAATGTGAGTTCTGTGTTCAAGATTGATACGGACCAATGTGTTGATGAACGTCGAGTGTATACGGATAAGGCTGTCTTTCACCGAGTATTTTGGACCTTTCACCAGTACATTGAGGCCTTCAAATATTGTAAACCCATAATCCAAATTGATGGCACGCATTTGTACGGTAAATACAAAGGAACTCTTTTGATTGCAACTTCACAAGATGGAGATGGTTACAAAACCTACAACAAACGCTTTGATTAGAGTTCACAAATTCGGACAACAAACAAATACAAAAACTTCCTAAACCTAAAACACAATGCAAGTTAAGAAACCTTACCTATCCTTCAGATTTCACGATTTGGACCAAATTTGGGGGCAATCCACACGCCTAAGGGAAGGGTTTGGGGCGTTCTTCAGCTGCTCCTGCGGATTTGGGGTTTGGGCCGCCTCCTTAGTCGATTAGGTCATCCTACTCCCCCTCTGCCGAATGGGGGGTTTTTAAAAAACAAATCCGTCGATATTTAGTCGACTAAATATCGTTACTTAGTCGACTAAATATCCCAAAAATGTAGTCGATTAAGATGATTTTTTAGTCAACTAAATTTGCGGTAGTCCACTTTCTGAAGATTGACCA